AAAAAAATATCATTGTGAATGAGGGGGAAGTGTGGAGTGGGGACCCAAGGCTCATCTGTAGGCAACTGGAAATCCCCTTATAGAAGGGTTGCGGGGAGAAGACCAATCAGTCAGGGTGCAGTGTAGCAATGATGAAACATACAACTTTCCTCTAGTTCTTAAATGCTTCCTCCCCTCCACCCCCACTATCATAATCCCAATTCTATCTTACAAATCTGGCTAGAGCAGAGGATGTACACTGGTACAGATAGGAACTGGAAACACAGGGAATCCAGGACAGATGAACCCTTCAGGACCAGTGGTGAGAGTGGCGATATCGGGAGGGTGGAGGGAAGGTGGGGTAGAAAGGGGGTACCGATTAGAAGGATCTACATATAACCCCCTCCCTGGGGGACGGACAACAGAAAAATGGGTGACGGGAGATGTCGGACAGTGTAGGACATGAACAAAATAATAATAATTTATAAATTATCAAGGGTTCTTGAGAGAGGGGGCCGGGGAGGGAGGGGATAAATGAGGAGCAGATACCAAGGGCTCAAGTAGAAAGCAAATGTTTTGAGAATGATGAGGGAAACAAATGCACAAATGTGCTTGACACAATGGATGGATGTATGGATTGTGATATGAGCTGTATGCACCCCAATAAAATGATTTAAAAAAAAAAAGAAAGCCCAGTCAGCCCCATTCCCTTAAAGAAGTGTTGTGAGGAGGAGATGAGCCAGCCAGGGTGCAGTATAGCACCAATACAACACACAACATTCCTCTAGTTCTTTAATGCTTCCTCCCCCCCCCACTGTCATGACCCCAGTTCTACCTTACAAATCTGGCTAGACGAGAGCATGTACACTAGTACAGATAAGAGCTCTTGACACACAGAATCTAGAACAGATAAACCCATCAAGAGCAATAATGAGAGCAGTGATACCATGAGGATAGGGGGAAGGTGCGGGGAGAAAGGGGGAACCGAACGCAATGACTAACAAACAACTCCCCCACCTACCCCCCCCCCACTGTGACAAACAACAGAAACATGGGTGAAGGGAGATAGTGACAATAATAACTTATAATTTCTCAAGGGGTCACGAGGATGGGAGGGGAAAAAGAGAAGCTGATATGGGGGGAGTGCGGAGTGGAGACCCAAAGCCCATTAGTAGGCCACTGGACATCCCTTTGCAGAGGGGTCTCAGGGAGGAGATGAGCCAGTCAGGGTGCAGTGTAACAACGATGAAAAATACAACTTTCCTCTAGTTCCTAAAGGTTTCCTCCCCGCTCCCACTACCATGACTCGAATTCTATCTTGCAAGACTGGCTAGACCAGAGGAGGTACACTGGTACAGATAGGAACTGAAAATACAGGGAATCCAGGATGGATGAGCCCTATAGGACCAGTGGTGTGAGTGGCAAAACAGGGAGGGTAAAGGGAGAATGGGTAGGAAAGAGGGAACCGATTACATGGAACTGTGTGTGACCTCCTCCCTGGGGGACAGACAACCGAAAAGTGGGTGAAGGGAGACGTCGGACAGGGCAAGATATGACAAAATACCCATTTATAAACTATCAAGGGCTCATGCGGGAGGGGGGAGCGGGGAGGGAGGGGAAAAATGAGGACCTAATGTCGGGGGCTTAAGTGGAGAGGAAATGTTTTGAGAATGATGAGGGCAATGAATGTACAAATGCGCTTTACACAATTGATGTGTGTATGGATTGTGATGAGAGTTGTATGAGCCCCTAATAAAATGATTAGGAAAAAAAAAAGAACATGCTTTAAAAATGATGATGGCACCATATGTACAAGTGTGCTTGAAACAATTGACATATGGATTGCTATAAGAGCTGTAAAATCCCCCAATAAAATGATTTTTTATAATAATTTAAAAAGCCCAGTCAGCCTCCACCCCCCAGGAGGGGAGGGGCAGGCCTGAGACGGGCAACAATCCACAGGTGGGTCCAGAGGAGAACGTAAGTGGGCAGCAAAGGGACAACTCCAGAGGAAAGGATTCTGAAAGGACAGGGAGCCTTACAGACCTGAAGCTCTTCATCAGTAAGATTCTCGCCCAACTCCTTGGCCACGCGCTTCAGATTTTTGAAAGAGATCTTGCCAGTTTCATCGTCATCGAAGAGCTTGAAGGCTTTCAAGATTTCTTCTTTGGTATCTTTCTCAGACTAAAGGGAAACATTAAGCATGTAGGAGTGGAGACCGCTGTGTCACCTGTTTCCCGCCACACCCCTCTTCTTCAACTTGAGCTTGGAGTTAGGTCAAGTCTCAGGAAGCCCTTTGGGCCTCCGGACCCAGCCAGACTTTCCAACCTGGGGACATCGGCTCCCTGTATGGTCCAGGTTTCCGGACCCAGCCAGACTTTCCAACCTGGGGACATCGGCTCCCTGTATGGTCCAGGTTTCAGAAGCAGGCAAAGTCTTTGCTCCAAAGTCAACAAAGACAAAACTTGCCCCCAGAGCCGGCACCCTGAATTCACACTGTTGGCCTCCTAAACTGTGAGAGAGTCCATCTGTTTGCTAAAGCCACTCATTTGTGATATTTCTGTTATCGCAGCACTAGAAAATGAAGTGTGTGTGAACCAAAACAGTGAGAAACGGACACAAGGACCTGTTTGGGAAGAGGAAGGAGGGCCAATTTGAGTAGGAGAGGTTGCAGGCCTGTGAGGCCACTGGAGATTCACCGTTCAGTGAGCAACTGTCTTCAGCTCTGAAATCAAGCGGGGCTTTGCGGTGGGAAAAACCTTCTTGGATTCGCTCCCTTCACCACTCAGCCCCATCTCTGTTTACCACGTGGCCTTACTGGTCGCCTTTCTAACCTGGGCCCTGTGACGCAAGAGATCAAAAAGCATGCAGGGTGGCAGCAGAAAAAAACCCACCAAGAAATTATTACCAATGGAGGGGCTAAAAAAGAAACCCAAACATTGTCTGTACAAACCAAAGGAGAAACTCGATTCACTTTTTAAATAGACAGGAAGATATACTCCTTAAGCTGGTGGACCAGGGAGCCCCTTGGAGAAAATGCTGAGATCCCAGAGGGTGAGGAGTGGGAAGAGGAGCCAGCCCCGCTGGGAGGGCCGAGTGCTTTTGCTTGTTATTAAAGTACAGAAGGACACTGGGCACCGGGCACCCCAGGCAGAGAACCTGCTCAAACCCCCTTCCAGTAGCAAAAGTCAGAGGAGGCTGAGACAGTTCTACCAGGTGGTAACAGTTGGTTGAGCGTCTTGATTGAGTCACAAAGAAAGGGGGGTGATAAATGTGACACTGTTACTTTTCTTAACTTCCGGAGAGCAAGACCACTTCTCTTTGACCGTGGCCTAGGAAAAAAAAGGCCAGGGTGAGCTTAGGCAGCCTCATACTCAGTGGGGAGCACCATCTTTTGCCAGTTCAACCCACCTGTTTTGATAAGCAATTTCCTTATCTTGATTCACATGTATCCCCCCTAGTGGCTGGCCCACCTGCTGAGGCTCTTCAGTAACTTACCATTTTCTGAGTCATCACAGCCAGAAAGTCACTGAAGTTCATTTTCCCTGTGCCTTCTTTGTCAATTTCATTGATCATTTTCTTGATCTCTTCCTTCTTGGGCTCAAAGCCCAGCGCCCGCATAGCAACCTACAATGAAAACGAAATGCCATCTCACTATGCAAATGCACGCCCAGCAGGAGCAAAAGTGACAATGGTTGGGAACATAACAGACTATCATGTTAGGGCCAGGCGAACACAATGGGGGGCAGGATAGTATTGATCTAATTGATATCCGACTTCTCTGAAGTAACAGGCGATAAGTAAAAACAGAAGGGAAAAAAGTGCCCACTCTCCTCCCCCTCCCCTCCCCGTTCTTGGGGCCTGGAAAGTGTGGAGAGGTGAGGCGGAGGAGGGCATGGAGCCAGGGAGGAAGGCACCGAGTGCAGAGCGCTTGCCTTTAGCTCTTTGACATCGATGGTACCAGTTCCGTCTGCATCAAAGAGATCAAAAGCTTCGCGGATCTCCTGTTTCTGGTCATCACTGATTTCGGGCTTGGAAGACATCCTCTTTCGCTGGGAAGTTGATGCCATGCTTGCCTTCTTAAAGTTGGAGGCCTTGGGACATACAAACACAGGAGGATGGTAGCATGCCAGAGAGTCCATCAAACCCCAAACCACACCCACTCCTGGGGAGCTAAGGCCAGACCATAAAGCAAACTCAAGACGCACGTTTGTGACGTCCCCAGAAGCTCAAAAGTTCGCCATTGTCAACTTTGGCAGAGAGAGGCTGCCAGGAGGCCCGGGGTCTGCGTTGGGGGGAGTCCTGGGAGAAATTCCGAGTTCTCCTGCCAAAGGACAGTCCCTGAGAGGCCTGGGGAGGGCCTAGAGAGCCGGGGGGCGCCCGAGTGGAGGGGCAGGCCGGCTGTGGGCAAATGGAGTAGGCAGAGGGCTGCGAATCGGCCGGCGCCTCGACCCTACCCTTCCGGGGCCGAATTCGGAGGAAGACGGTGTGCTGCAGCTCCGGAACGCGCGGGGGAGGCGGCGTGGGCAGAGGGGACCCGCAGAGGCCTGAACCTCTGCACGAGCGCCACCAAGCAGATTGCCGGCACTTACCATTGCAGAACAACTCCACCGAGCGTTGTTACGGCAACGAACATACACACTTTAGGCGTCATTCCCATTACTACGCACGCGCGCGGCTCCGCTCCCCATTGGTGGCCCGCCCAATACCCCTGTTCTCCATTGGCGCAGAGCCGGAGAGGGGCTAGCCCGGCAGAGCCTCCGTTGGTGGGGAGGGAGGGGCGCGCCCCGGAGCAGGCGGGAGAGGATTGGTCAGGGTCCCGTCACGAGCGCCGATTGGCGGAATCAGGACCAAGCTGAGCCAATCCAGTGGATGAGGAGTCCTCGGCCGATTCTGACCTCACGCAAAAGGATTAAGAGGCGGGGACTGGCTGGAGACCCATCTTTGCGTCCTGGGTCGAGCTGAGACTGTCTAAAGGAGTGGTAAGATAGTGGTGTGCGGCAGAGGGGGCTTTCAGGCCTGGGGCTGGACTAAGAAGAGCGGGCACCCGGGGGCAGAGCAGCCCATGAGCGTGCTAGGGGGAGTGGGCATGACCAGATCGGCAAACTGAGGTCCCAAGAGGGGAAGGAACTGGGTGGGAAGGGACCTCCAGAGTGCCGGAGCCCTCATCAGGATCACGGTCCTCTGATCGGAAGATCTGGAAGAGCTGCTCCTGTGAGTTTCTGAGACGGTTCTCCCAAGGAGCACTGGTGGCTTCGAACTGCAGACCTTGTAGTAAGCCGCCCAACGCGCAACTACTTGGAAGCTGGGAAAGAGTCAGCGACTGAAGGGCTGGGGCTGGGACTGGGGTGGGGGAAGCATGGGTCACTGCTTAAGGAACAAAGGGTAAAGGGCAGCAGCTTGATGAGCCCATTTGGGGCTGTGTTGCCAGCGCCCCAGCCACACGCCCGCTCATCCCACCCCGCCTTCCTTCAGAGCTGCGTTCACCTCCTACCTTCGCAGCGAGTCGCCTCTCCCACTTTTTTTTATTATGTTCTTTTGCACCCCTCCTCTAGAGGACAGGGCCTTGGTTTGAAGCAGGGCTGGTGCTCCAGTGCCAGGTTCAAGGAGCAAGGAGGGCCCTGCTTTCCGTGCCCAGCAAATCCTGGTTGAATTCGAACGGCCAGTGAGGAGCGCTTCTCTTACACAGCTGGCACCTCCTGACATCTGAACCCTGCCTTTTGCCTCCCATTTCCCCATCCAGCAGCACACCCGATGCCCCCAGCACATAAGAAGGAACAAATACACATTGTGCCATAGCTGTGTGACCTTGGGCCAGTCACTTGGCTTCTCAAAGCCTCAGGTTCTCATCTGGCCTTTGTTCCCTTCGCGTGTAGCGGGTCTTGCTAACCGTCAACTTGGAAGGTACTACCGCCAGAGTCAGCCTTCATCCTTTGTCACACTGGCTCCCGATGCTCCCCATCTTACCTCACTGCCTGTGAGGTAACTTGTTCCCGAGCCTGCAGGCTCCAGGCCATTGCCTCACATCCCCTGCACCCCAGCTATGGGCAGGGTACCCACTCCCTCAGAGGCACAGAGCCCTGAGGACCCAGCAGCCTGCATTACCTGAGGCCAAGAGGCCCCTATGCAGCTCTGGGCTGGATGGCAGTGACTGTAGATGCGGCCCCAGTGATGGTCCTTCTCCCGGAGCACGGCCATCATCACCAGGATGGTTAACTGTACGGTGGCTCCCCACAAAGCAGAACCTCAAAGGGGTATGACACAAACAAACATGACGGGACACAAGGTGTATCCAATAGAAATGTGTGACTCTTTGTCTTTAAGGAGAGAGAAGGTGATCACAAACCAAACTATCTTTGAGCCACAATGGACCAAGGCACTAAAATGAGGGGCCAGAACCCACAGACTCATGTGACAACGAACATCTCCAAAGTAAGTACCGACACAAGCCCTTTTGGCACGTGCACACCAGCCGGCTGTGTGTGTTTGCCCAGCTCTTGGGTTGAGGGTGTTAATGAAATCACTCCCTGGTGGCGATTTCTCTTGGTATCGGTTAGATGCCTTTAAAGATGAATCCACTAGACCAGGGGTGTCTTAGAGTTGGACTGTCTGAGTTGGGGCAGTGGCGCCCTGTCCTGCCATTCTCCCCAGTCTGTGAACCAGTGTGTGCCTGCAGGTGGGGTTGAAAGGAGCCCCCGCCCTCCTGACAAGTTACCATCCTCAGGCTCCCCATCTTGCTAGCCCCCAGGACTTGGGACAATGCAGACTGCCTTTCTCCTGTGACTGTGGGGACCAAGCTTTGCTTTCTTGTGTGCTATCTGCAGGCAAGCCGGCCTTAGTGGTGTGCATGGATCACCTCTTGGGAGCAGGAAGGTGGAGGCAGGCCTCGTCTTACTAATAAGCCTGCAGAGAGAATGAGTGTGTTTGGACAACAGGGCGGTTGTGGTGACCCTGCACCCAGCTAGGTTGTTGGTGCCATTTTCGCAACCGCACGTGCTCACTTCACGTGTTTGGGCCCCACTGTAGTACCCGCTGTGCTACTCTGTCCAATGTTTGCATCTCCCAGGTCAGCTGTGGCCGCGCAGACCCACCCACCTTGACTTTTTCTGCAGGCGCAGAAGTGCACAGTGATCGGAGGCTCGGGGTTTCTTGGTCAGTACATGGTAGAGCAGTTGCTGGCCAGAGGCTACCATGTTAACATCTTTGACATCCGTCAAAGCTTTGAGGACCCCGACGTAGAGTTCTTCCTGGGTGATCTTTGCAACCAGCAGGTGAGGAGCAGCCTGAGTTCCTAGAGTCTCCTCGGGGTTTGCCAAAAGAGGTCCCTGCCTGAAGGCCAAACGGGTGTCGCTTCCTCCCCCCCC